TAAAAATATTAAAATAAATTTATATTAAAAATATTAAATAAATTTATATTTAAAAATGTGGAATAAATTTATATTAAAAATATAAAAATAAATTTATATTTAAAAATGTTAAAAATAAATATATATTAAAAATATAAAATAAATTTATATTAAAAATGTAAAAATAAATTTATATTTTTAAAAATATTAAAATAAATTTATATTTTAAAATATGGAATAAATTTATATTTAAAATATGGAAATAAATTTATATTAAAAATATAAAATGTGAAATAAATTAAAAAACATATTAAAATTTATATTAAAAATAAATAAAATTTTATATTTAAAATATTAAAATAAATTTATATTAAAAATATTAAAATAAATTTATATTAAAAATATAAAAATAAATATATATTAAAAATATAAAAATAAATTTATATTAAAAATATAAAAATAAATATATATTAAAAATATAAAATATATTTATATTAAAAATGTGGAATAAATTTATATTAAAAATGTGGAATAAATTTATATTAAAAATGTGGAATAAATTTATATTAAAAATATGGAATAAATTTATATTAAAAATATTAAAATAAATTTATAATTAAAAATGTGGAATAAATTTATATTAAAAATGTGGAATAAATTTATATTAAAAATATTAAATAAATTTATATTTAAATTTTATTGATGAAGAATAAAAAAAGCAAAAAAATTTTTTTTTAATTTTTTTTAATTTTAATTTTCATTTTTTTTTTCATTTTTTCCTTTTTAAAAAAAAAAAATAAAAATGAAACAATTATTCAACATAATTATACTAATTATAATTGTACTAGAAATAAGCGTTGTAAACGGACAAGAAAACTGCACTACAGTATACACTAAGATGTTTAATTTCGAAGTACCAGATTCATATGAAGCAATATATTTAGCAACAGGAAAAAACATACCCAAAGATGCTGGAGATTACGAGCTGTGCTGGATGCTCGAGAACACACACCATTGCATTGTAGACTTTGTACTAGATGCGACTGTAGCTTTACTTCCTCTTCAGTGGGGTTTCTGCTTTCCAGATGTTTGTCATCCTTCTGAAATTCCAGATGCACTTCAAATTTATTTGGATCATATACTTCCCATTCCTACTACCCTTATCACATCAACAATAGAGATACACTGCCTTGAAGACCTTCAAAGAGACTTCTCTGCCGGTCCTGTTATCACCATTGTTCTTGTTGTAATTGTCTTTATTTTGGTTGTATCCGCTTTTTTTCTCGCATACTTTAAGTTTCCTCAATCAAAATCTATTGAAGGTTCTCAATATTTTGCTGTTAAAAGTCAGCAGAAAAATCATGAGAATGATTCCTCAGATTCTGCTGAGATTTCCGATAATTCTAAGATTAATAAAGAGGAGATTATCAACCAAAAAAAAGATGAAGAGCGTCTTGAAGATAATAATTGGGATCAACTTGATTTGAAAAATAAAGATTCTCCAAAAAAAAGTTTTTTAATCAAGCTTTTACTTTCTTTTAATATCTTCAAAAATTGGAGAAAAATGCATAAACCTTATCCTTTTCCTGAATTCAGTCATTTCTCTTTCTTTAGAATTATATCTATGTTTTGGATTATTTTAGGTAAATAATTAAAATTCAATTAAAATTCATTTAAAATTAAAATTATTTATAATTAAAATCAAAATTATAATTAAAATTAAAATTAAAATTCAAATTAAAATCATTTATAAAATTGAAATTATTTATAAAATTAAAATTAAAATTAAAATTAAAATTAAAATTAAAATTATTTATAAAATTAAATTTGAAATTATTTATAAAATTATTTATAAAATTAAAATTAAAATTATAATTAAAAATTAAAATTAAAATCATTTATAAAATTATAATTATATTTAAAATTGAAATTAAAATTAAAATTTAAATTAAATTTAAAATTAAAATTAAAATTAAAATTATTTATAAAATTAAATTTGAAATTAAAATTATTTATAAAATTAAAATTATTTATAAAATTAAAATTATTTATAAAATTAAAATTTAAATTTGAAATTATTTAAAATTAAAATTAAAATTAAATTTAAAATTAAATTTGAAATTATTTATAAAATTAAAATTCATTTAAAATTAAAATTAAAATTTAAATCAAAATTAAAATTCAAAATTAAAATCAAAATCAAAATCAAAATCAAAATTAAAATTAAAATTAAAATTATTTATAAAATTATAATTAAAATTAGGTGAAACAATCTCAATTCAAGAAGTTACTGGTTATAGAAACATTGTTTATGTAATTTCTGAGGATGGTCCAACAACAAAATGGCCTTTTCAATTTATTATGGGAGCTGAATTTGCAGCAGATACATTTTTTGTTATAAGTGGATTTCTTGTGACTTTTTATACAATTCACAAACTAAAAAAAAAGGAATTCAGTTTTTGGAAATATTACATTCATCGGTAAAATCAATTCAATTCAAAAATCAATTCAAAAATTAATTTTAATTTAAAAATCAAATCAATTCAAAAATCAAATCAATTCAAAAATCAATTTTAAAAATCAATTCAATTCAAAAATCAATTCAATTCAAAATTTAATTTAAAATTCTTTTTTCATAGATTTTTCCGTCTTTTTCCTGTTCTTTTTTTTGTTTTAATCATTTATAACAATTTATCTCTTCATCTTAGCAATGGTCCATATTATCATCTTGTTAAAGATGGATTAAAAAACACTTGTAACAAATATTGGTATTCAACTTTATTCTTTTTTAATAATTTTTATCCAAAAGATTACAACGATGAATGCATGAGTAAGTGAATAATAATAATAATAATATTTAATTCAATAATATTTAATTTAATAATATTTAATTCAATAATATTTAATTTAATAATATTTAATTCAATAATATTTAATTTAATAATAATAATAATAATATTTAATTTAATAATAATAATAATAATATTTAATTCAATAATATTTAATTTAATAATATTTAATTCAATAATAATAATATTTAATTTAATAATAATAATAATATTTAATTTAATAATAATATTTAATTTAATAATAATATTTAATTTAATAATAATATTTAATTTAATAATAATATTTAATTCAATAATAATATTTAATTCAATAATAAAATTAATTTAATAATAATATTTTAATTTAATAATAATAATAATATTTAATTTAATAATAATATTTAATTTAATAATAATATTTAATTTAATAATAATATTTAATTCAATAATAATATTTAATTCAATAATAAAAATTAATTTAATAATAATATTTAATTCAATAATAATAATAATATTTAATTTAATAATAATATTAATTTAATTTAATTTAATTTAATAATAATATTTAATTTAATTTAATTTAATTTAATAATAATATTTAATTTAATTTAATTTAATTTAATTTAATAATAATATTTAATTTAATAATACTTAATTCAATAATAATATTTAATTCAATAATAAAATTAATTTAATAATAATATTTAATTTAATAATAATATTTAATTCAATAATAATATTTAATTTAATAATAATATTTAATTTAATTTAATTTAATTTAATTTAATTTAATAATATTATTCAGATTGGTGTTGGTATCTCGCAAACGATGTTCAATTTTACATTATTGCACCAATATTCTCAGTTTTATACATAATAAATCAATGGATTGGATTTTCAATTGTCGGAGTATTTGGAATAATATCACTTGCACTTAATTTCTACCTTGTTGATCACTACAACATCAACTTCACTCTTTTAGACGAAGACCAATACAACACATACAGGAACAAAATATACACGAAACCATACACACGCATATTGCCTTATCTTGTAGGAGTTGGATTTGCAATGGCAACTTTCAGTTGGAAAAAACTTCAACCAAATCGATCAGAAATTTTAGAGATTGAAGAACAAGAAAAACTTGTTGACAAACCAAAAGCATTTGAGAAGAAGAAAAGAATCACAAAGATTCACTATGCGTTGTCGAATATTATTTTCCTTGTCGCATTTGCAACGATGGCAGTGGTTCAATTTTCTCCTTATGATAACTTCAAAAATCTCGGAAATAATTGGAATAACGCTCAAAACGCTGTTTATATTGGTTTGTCAAAACTTTTGTGGGGTCTTGCTGTTGGGCTTATATTGCTTATCTTTGTTTACTTCCATGATACTCCTTCTGCTTTTAAAAAGTTTTTGTTCTTTAAAATTTGGGTTCCTATTTCAAGATTAACTTATTCTGTTTATGTTTCTCATCCAGTTGTTATGCTAATGGTCATTTTTAGCTCAAGAATTTTGTTCGATTATGATACTACTCCTATTTTTTATAATTCTATTGCTAATGTTGGTACTTGCTATTTAATTGGTTTTATTCTTTATTTCTTGGTTGAACAACCTTTTATGAATTTGGAAAAGTTGATAATGAAGTGAGTTTCCATTTTTAAATTTAAATTTAATTTTAATTTTAATTTTAATTATAATTTTAATTTTAATTTTAATTTTAAAATCGGAAAAAAAATTAATTTAATTTTCTCTCTTTTTTTTTTATAAAAATTATTTAGGCGTTTTCTTAATTGGGGAAAATCTAGATCAGATTAAATCATTTAACTCATTTAATAACTAATCAAATAACTTCTTTTTAATTCAAATTTTTTTTTTCATTTTTTTTCATTTTTTTTCCTTTCCAAAAATCATTTTTCTTTTTTTTTTTCAAATAATCTTTTTTAACGGATAAAAACCGATTAATTTTAAAACAACAACAACAAAAAACAAGAAAAGATTTTTCATTTATCAAAAAAAAAAATTAATACAAATTAACAACCAATTTAACCATTTAAATAGAAATTAAAATTAATTAGATGAAATTACAATTAAAATTACAATGAAATTACAATTAAATTAGATAAAATTACAATTAAAATTAAAATTAAATTAAAATTACTTCAAAAAAAAAAACAACAAAAAAATCGTTTTTGGAGAGACCGGGACTCGAACTCCGGATCTTGAGCTTGACAGGCTCACATTCTTTCCTTTATACTATCTCTCCTTTTTTTTTATAAATTAAAATTTTTAAAAGTTCTTCTTTTATAATCTAATTAATTTAATTTAACAAAAAAGAATTTTAATTTAAAAAAAAATAATTTTATTCAGAAGCCGGGAATCGAACCCGGATCTTGGGCGTGTAGAGCCCATATACTCACCTTTATACTACTTCCGATTTAAATTTTTAATTTGAAATTTCTTTATAAAATTTTTCAAAATAGCATCTTTTATTACAAATATTTGAAATTTTTTCCAATTAATTTTGATTAGTTTTATTCAACTTTTTATTATTTATTTATTTCAGAAGATATTCTAAATTAACTTCAATTAGTTTTATTCCACTTTTTATTATTTAATCAAATTAATGTTGATTGAAATGATTTTGATTATATTTATTCCACTTTTTATTATTTATTTCAGAAGATATTCTAAATTAACTTCAATTAGTTTTATTCCACTTAATATTATTTAATCAAATTAATGTTGATTGAAATGGTTTTGATTATATTTATTCCACTTTTTATTATTTATTTCAGAAAATATTCTAAATTAATCTTGAATTAGTTTTATTCCACTTTTTATTATTTATTCAAATTAATGTTGATTGAAATGGTTTTGATTATATTTATTCCACTTTTTATTATTTATTTCAGAAGATATTCTAAATTAACTTCAATTAGTTTTATTCCACTTTTTATTATTTATTTCAGAAAATATTCTAAATTAATCTTGATTTAGTTTTATTCCACTTTTTATTATTTATTCAAATTAATGTTGATTGAAATGGTTTTGATTAGTTTTATTCCACTTTTTATTATTTATTCAAATTTAATTAATTTTATTATTTAATTATTCTAAAAAAATTTATCCAAAAAAGAAACATTTGCAGAAGCCGAGATTCGAACTCGGATCACAAAATTGGTAATTTTGTATTCTGCCTTTATACCACTTCTGCTTATTTTCTTGTTTCCTTTTTCCTTTATTTTGATAAAAAAAGTGGAGAAGCCGGGAATTGAACTCGGACCGTGTGCTTTGGGAGGACACATTCTTCCTTTAAAATACTTCCCCTTTTTTCTTATTATTTATCAAAAAATTTTTTAAAATAATTTTTGACAAACTTCCTCATTTAAATTTAATATTATGTTCCACTTTTTATTCTTTATTTTAAAATAGAAATCTTAAACAAAATCAATTCCAAATCAATTCCAAATCAATTTAAAAATCAATTTAAAAATCAATTCCAAATCAAATTAAAAATCAATTTAAAAATCAATTTAAAAATCAATTCCAAATCAATTCCAAATCAATTCAAAACAAATTAAAAATCAATTCCAAAACAAATTAAAAATCAATTCCAAAAAAATAAATTTATTCAGAAGCCGGGAATTGAACTCGGATCTTGGGCGTGAAAGGCGCACGTTCTACCTTTGAACTACTTCTGATTTAAATTGAAATTTCTTTTTAAAATTTTTCAAAATAGCATCTTTTATAACAAATATTTGAAATTTTTCCAATTAATTTTGATTAGTTTTATTCAACTTTTTATTATTTATTTATTTCAGAAGATATTCTAAATTAACTTCAATTAGTTTTATTCCACTTTTTATTATTTAATCAAAGAATATTTTAAATTAATCTAAATTGATTAGATTAGATTTATTTATTTCAAAAAAATATTCTAAATCAATTTAAATTAGATTTATTCCACTTTTTATTATTTATTTCAAAAAAATATTCTAAATCAATTTAATTTAGATTTATTCCACTTTTTATTATTTAATCAAAAAAAATTTTTCAGAAGCCGAGATTCGAACTCGGATCTTGAGTGTGAAGGCCCACATACTTACCTTTATACTACTTCTGATTTTAATCCAAATTTCTTTTAAAATTTTATAAATTAGTGTCTTTTATAACAAAAATATTCACAATTTTCTAATTAATTACAACTTTTATTCCATTTTTTATTTATTTCAAAAAAATATTTCAAATTAATTTAAATTAGATTGATTAGATTTATTTATTTCAAAAAAATATTCTAAATTAACTTCAATTAGATTTATTCCACTTTTTATTATTTATTTCAAAAAAATATTCTAAATCAATTTAAATTAGATTTATTCCACTTTTTATTATTTATTTCAAAAAAATATTCTAAATTAACTTCAATTAGTTTTATTCCACTTTTTATTATTTAATCAAAGAATATTTTAAATTAACTTCAATTAGATAGATTAGATTTATTTATTTCAAAAAAATATTCTAAATCAATTTAAATTAGATTTATTCCACTTTTTATTATTTATTTCAAAAAAAATATTTCAAATTAATTTAATTTAGATTGATTAGATTTATTTATTTCAAAAAAATATTCTAAATTAACTTCAATTAGATTTATTCCACTTTTTATTATTTATTCAAAAAAAATTACTCAGAAGCCGAGATTCGAACTCGGATCTTGAGCGTGACAGGCCCACATACTTACCTTTATACTACTTCCGGTTTTAATCCAAATTTCTTTTAAAATTTTATAAATTAGTGTCTTTTATAACAAAAATATTCACAATTTTCTAATTAATTACAACTTTTATTCCATTTTTTATTTATTTCAAAAAAATATTTCAAATCAATTTAAATTGATTAGATTAGATTTATTTATTTCAAAAAAATATTCTAAATTAACTTCAATTAGATTTATTCCACTTTTTATTATTTATTCCAAAAAAATATTCTAAATTAACTTCAATTAGATTTATTCCACTTTTTATTATTTAATTCAAAAAAAATATTTAAATCAATTTAATTTAGATTGATTAGATTTATTTATTTCAAAAAAATATTCTAAATCAACTTCAATTAGATTTATTCCACTTTTTATTATTTATTCCAAAAAAAATTGCTCAGAAGCCGAGATTCGAACTCGGATCATGGGCGTGAAAAGCCCACATACTTACCTTTATACTACTTCTGATTTTAATTTAAATTAAACAAATCCTTTTGCAAAAAAAAATTCAAAAAATAGATTATTTATAATTATAAATTTAACAAAAAAGGTGTGGAGAAGTCGGGATTTGAACCCGAATCTTAAACTTAGCATTACATTCTATCTTTAAATTATCCCCTTTTTAATTTATTCCCTAATTTTAATAAATAATTTAATAAATATTTAAAATTAATAATTTAATTAATAATTTAATTAATTTTAATTTAATAAATAATTTAAATTAATTAATAATTTAATTTAATTTATTTTATTAAATAATTTAAATAAAATAATTTAAATAATCTTTAATAAATAATTTAATAAATTAAATTTAATAAATAATTTAATAAATCAATTTGGAATTTAATTTAATTTTATTATTTTAATAATTTAAATTTAATTTTAAATAATTTAATAATTTAATTAATAAAAAATTAATAATTTTAAATAATTTAATAAATAATTTAATAAATAATTTAATTTATAAATTTAATTAATAATTTAATTAATTTTAACTAAAATAATTTAATCAATTTAAAAAATAATTTTATAATAATTTAATTTAATAATTTAATTTTTTAATTTAATAATTTAAATTAAATAAAATAATTTTAAATAATTTAATTTTTAAAAAAGATTAATTAATAATTTAATAAAATTAATAAATAAAAAATTTAATTAATAATTTAATTAAATAAAATTTAATTATTTGAACCCGAATTAATTTTAATAATAATTTGGAGGCTAATAATTATTTAAATCTTTAATTTAAACTAATTTTTTAATAATTTAATAAAAATTTTAGAATTTAAAATAATTTATAATCCAAAAAAAAAATTTGTTCAAAAAATTGATTTAATCAAATTAATAAATAATTTTTATTTAATCAAAAATTTTTAATTAATAATTTAATTAATAATTTAATCAATAATTTTAATAAATAATTTAATAAATGATTTTATTTTAAAATAATTTAAATAAAATTTAATAAATAATTTAATAAATAATTTAATCCTAATAATTTAATCAAAAATTTAATAAATAATTTAATAAATAATTTAATAAATAATTTAATAAATAATTTAATAAATAATTTAATAAATAATTTAATAAATAATTTAATAAATAATTTAATAAATAATTTAATAAATAATTTAATAAATAAATTAATAAATAATTTAATCAATAATTTAATTAATAATTTAATAAATAATTTAATAAATAATTTAATTAATAATTTAATCAATAATTTAATTCCAAAAAAAAAAGAGAATGAAAATGATAAAATTTATTCCAAAAAAAAAATTGAATTAATCAAATTCAAATCTAAATGTGGAGGATCCGAGATTCGAACTCGGAGCTTGTTCATGACGTAAACACATTTTACCTTTAAACTAATCCCCCATCCTTATCAAATTTATTTCAAAAATTTTTTTATTTTAGAACTCCTTTTATAATCCAAAAATTTCTTTTAAATTCCTTATCAAAAATTTAATTCAAAAAAATCAAAAAAAAAAAATTCTTTTGAAATCTTTTAAAAATTTGTTTGATTTTTCAAAAGTAATTCAATTGTAAAACGATCATAATGCGAAAACATCTCGTTTTTTATTATTGCATCAGCTACTTGAATATGACCCGAATTTATAATCACTTCCAATAATTTTGTTTGCAAATAACCTTCTTCTTCTTTATTGTCTTTCAAAACATCCAAAAAAACTGCTGTCAAAGATTTAATTTTTTTTGCATCAGCAAAAATATCAAAAACATTTAGAACATCAATTAAATATATATCTTTCTCCTTTTGTTCGCTCAATAAAAACTTAGCGAAATTTTCTGCAATTTGTTCATTTTGTTCCAAAACATTTTTCAACAATTCGGAATAATTTAAACCCATCAAAAAATTTTTCCCATAATCAAGAAGCTTTAGGAATTCTTGTTGTTCAATTAGTTTTGTTACTATACTGTCATTTGAAATTTGTTTCTTTTTGAATAGTTGAGAAAGTTCAGGATCGGAATCAAAAATATTCATCAATTCTTGAGATAATTCAAGTTTGTCTTCTTTAACAAAATTTTCAATCAATTCTTTTTTTTGAATTTCAATTAATTTCCGAACAAAATGAATTGATTCAAAAGAATTGAGTTTATTTTGCGCAAGAAATAGCTGGTAATAAATGATTTCTGGTGGTTTTTCACCTTCATTTTTGATTGCTTCTTGAAATTTCTTGAAATTTTCTTGTGTTCGTAAAAATTGATCTGGCGAATCTGCAATAATTTTAGCAGCTTCTTGGTATTTTCCTTGATTAAAAAGAACCTCAAATTTATCAATAAAAATAGATCTTGTTGTGTCTGAGTCCTGAATAATTATTGCGTCTACAAGTTGATTGAATTGGTTTAAGTTGTGGATTTTTAGATTTGGATTTTTTCCCGAAATTGTTAAAATTTCTCCTGATTTGAAAACTGCAATTATTCCATCTTTATTTTTATTGAAAACAGCATGAAGAGGTGAATGATTGGATATTTGCTTTTTAAGAAAAAGTATTCCTGTTAGCAAATCAAAGACGAATAAGTATCCCATTTTTGTAAGAACAAAAATAACAGAAAATTTTTCACAAATTTTTAAATCAATTGGGAAATCTTGAGTTGGAAATGAATCAAATTCTACTGGATGCGTGTATCGTTTGAATTTGTTTTCTGTTGTTGAATCATTTCCAAATTCCATTGAATAAAGTTTTGTTTCTGTTGGAGTTTTCATAATACATGAAAAAATAAGTATTGATTTATTGAAATTTTGCAAAAAAACAGAAGCCAAATCACAAGCTGATGTTTGAATTATTTGAGTTTTTTGTTTTTCAATTGAGTATAATTGAGATGATCCAAAGATTTGATTTTCTTTTTGAGTGATTCCGACTACAATAAGCCATTGTAAGTTTTCTGATGTTTGGTAATTAATAATTTGATGATTTTGAAGAGATTCGTGAATTTCGAATAGTGGTTCTGGTTCTTTGCTATCTAAATCATTTTATATTTTAATATTAATATTAATTTTGATTTTAATTTTTATTTATATTTTTAATTTTGATTTGGATTTATATTTTGGATTTGGATTTGGATTTGGATTTGGATTTGGATTTGGATTTGGATTTGGATTTGGATTTGGATTTATATTTGGATTTATATTTATATTTGGATTTATATTTGGATTTGGATTTGGATTTATATTTATTTTTATATTTATATTTATATTTATATTTTTATTTATATTTATATTTGGATTTAGATTTATATTTATATTTGTATTTATTTTTATATTTATATTTATATTTATATTTATATTTATATTTATATTTATATTTATATTTATATTTATATTTATATTTATAATTAGATTTATAATTATATTTATATTTATATTTATATTTATATTTATATTTATATTTATATTTTAATTTTGATTTATATTTATATTTATATTTATATTTATATTTGGATTTGGATTTGGATTTGGATTTGGATTTGGATTTGGATTTGGATTTGTATTTAGATTTGGATTTGGATTTGGATTTGGATTTGTATTTATATTTATATTTATATTTATATTTTTATTTATATTTATATTTATATTTATATTTGGATTTGGATTTGGATTTGGATTTGGATTTGGATTTGGAATTGGATTTATATTTATATTTATATTTATATTTATATTTGGATTTGGATTTGGATTTGGATTTGGATTTGGATTTGGATTTGGATTTAGATTTATATTTATATTTGGATTTGGAATTGGATTTAGATTTGGATTTGGATTTATATTTATATTTTGATTTATATTTATATTTTTATTTTTATTTTTATTTATATTTATATTTGGATTTGGATTTGGATTTGGATTTGGATTTGGATTTGGATTTGGATTTGAATTTAGATTTATATTTGGATTTGGGATTGGATTTTGATTTGGATTTGGATTTATATTTATATTTATATTTATATTTATATTTATATTTATATTTGGATTTGTATTTGGATTTGTATTTGGATTTGAATTTGGATTTATATTTGTATTTGGATTTATATTTATATTTATATTTTTATATTTATATTTATATTTATATTTGGAATTATATTTATATTTGGATTTGTATTTATATTTATATTTATATTTATATTTATATTTTATTTTTATTTATATTTATATTTGGATTTGGTTGGAATTGGATTTGGATTTGGATTTGGATTTTATTTATATTTATATTTATATTTATATTTATATTTGGATTTTTTTGGATTTGGAAAAATATTTGTATTTATTTTGATTTGGATTTATATTTGGAAAATTTGGATTTTGATTTGGATTTGTATTTTATATTTATATTTTATATTTTTTATAAATATATTTATTTTATATTTATATTTATATTTATATTCATATTTATATTCATATTTATATTTATATTTATAATATTCATATTTATATTTTATATTTATATTTATATTTTATTTATATTTATATTTATATTTATATTTATATTTATATTTATATTTATATTTATATTTATATTTATATTTTATATTTATATTTTTTTATATTTATATTTGGATTTGGATTTGGATTTGGATTTGTATTTTATTTATATTTATATTTATATTTTTATTTATATTTTTATTTATATTTATATTTATATTTATATTTGGATTTGGAATTAGATTTATATTTATATTTATTTTTAGATTTGGATTTGGATTTGGATTTGGATTTGGATTTGTATTTAGATTTGGATTTGGATTTGGATTTGGATTTGGATTTATATTTATATTTGGATTTATATTTATATTTGGATTTATATTTATATTTATATTTGGATTTGGATTTAAATTTATATTTGGATTTGGGTTTGGATTTGGATTTGAAATTGGATTTGGATTTGGAATTGGATTTGGATTTGGATTTGGATTTGGATTTGGATTTGGATTTATATTTAGATTTG